TTTTGAAGATTTTAAAAATTTTTTAAATTTTTTATTGGAATGTCAGATATACAGAGAGGAGGAGAGACAGAGAGGAAGATCTCCCATCTGTTGTTTGACTCCATCTTCCATCTGTTGTTTGACTCCCCAAACGGCCACAATGACCGGAGCTGAGCTGATCCAAAGCCACGAGTCAGGAGCCTCCTTCGGGTCTCCCATGTAGGTGCAGAGTCCCAAGTCTTTGGGCTGTTCTCGATTGCTTTCCCAGGCCACGGGGAGCTGAATGGGAAGTGGGGCCGCTAGGATGGGACCCTGGGCATGCAAGGCAAAGAATTTAGGTGCCAGACTACCACATTGGGCCCTCTTATTTTTTAATTTAATTTTTTTGGCCCAGTGTGGAGGTTCGATGGCTGAAACTTCACCTTGCAAGCACCAGAGGGCACTGGTTCATGTCCTGGCTGCTCTACTTCCCATCCAACTCCCTGATTATGGCCTAAGAAAGCAGTAAAGGGTAGCACAAAGCCTTTCACCCTTATAGGAGACCTGGAAGACACCCCTGGCTCCTGGCTTTCAATTGGTTCAGTTTTGGCCTTTGCAGCCTTTTGTGGAGGGAACCAGCAGGTGGAAGATCTTTTTGTCTCTCTTTCTGTAAATCTAATCTGCCTTTCCAGTAAATAAATGAATCCTTAAAAGTTTGTTAAAATGCTTTTTCTTGTGCAGTTCTGGGAATTTTATTATGTATATAGACTTAAGTAACTACCACCAGAATCAAAACGATTTCCTGCTGTGGCCATTTCAGCATGGCAGTTAAGACTGTGGGTAGGATGGCTGAGTCCCAAATCCTAGCACCTGCGTTTCATATCTGTCTACCTCCTAAACTCTTTTACATAATGAATTCATTTTAAACATTATTTACTTAATTTTTTCATTGGAAAGATTTACAGAGAGAAGGAGAGGTACAGATAAATCACCTATCTGCTGGTTCATTCCTCAAGTAGCCACAACGGCCAGAGCTGAGCCAATTCAAAGCCAGGAGCCAGGAGCTTCTTCTAGGTCTCCCAAGGAGGAGCAGGGTCCCAAGACTTTGGGCCATTCAACTGCTTTCTGAGGCCAGAAGCAGGAAGCTAGAAGGGAAGTGGACCAGCTGCGACATGAACTGGTGCCCATATAGGATCCTGGCACATGCAGGGTGAGGATTTTAGCCACTAGGCTACCGTGCCAGACCCTATTTATTTAAAATATTTAAAACAGTGGTAAGGGGTTTGCAGACCCACGTGGAGAAAGCTGTGGAGGGTGGAGCAAGAAAATGTTTCATCTTCTATCCAGTGTCCATGGGTTGATGTGTGTGTGTGTGAAGAGGATGAACTTCTTGCTGTCAGATTACTTGAGTATCAGGGAATGGAGATGGATGTTTGATGTCATCTTAGGGTCTCTGATGGGGAGCGCGGAGGAGAATGTCCTGAGGGTGTTACTTGAGTGGTCTTGGTTGTTTAGAAAAGTTGTAGGTTTTGTGTACCAGAGGTGATCAATTCTATCTAAGGCTTTCTTGGCTCTCCTTGTCTAGCTCCGTGTGTCCACAGACTCGGGTTCAAGCTGTAGAACAAGGCCTGGAGTGTTGTTCAACCTGCTTTGCTTTCTACCCTTTGCAGAGGTATTCAAAGTCTTCTGTTGGATTAGAGGAGCCAGCTGTCTTGTCCTTTGTGTCATTCTTTATTCTTACACAGGAGTCAACAACAAAGGTGGTCCAGTCTTGCAACATGTGCTCTGAGGTAGGACCCAGCCTACCCCAAGACTCAACTCCAGCATGTATAGATGGATGCTGCAACCTAGACAGGGAACCCTCAAAGAACCCCTTCCCCTAGTCGTGGCTCCCATGCACACCAACAGGTGCTGCTGTCCATTTGGGGAAACCCCTAAGGACTCCCCTACCAGACCAATCCAAGCCCTGGTTCTCATGTGTGTGCCCTGGCATGGCCTGCGCCAGACTCATTCCTCGGGGTCACCTGGGGGCCAACAGCCTGGCCTTGAGGATTCTCTAAGTCACCTCATCAGGGTCATCCCCAGACCTAGTGCTCCTGGGTCAGCAGGTGCAGCTGCCTGGTACAACCTGCTCCAGCCCCAGCTCCCATGCTCATCAGTACAATGGCCTGGTTGTGGAGACCCTCCAGAATCCTCAACAGATCAGTCCCCTCATCCAATTCTCACGTGTTGGCAGGTGCGTAAGGGTGGCCTTGGGAGGCCCTCCGGGTCCCCATCTGATCCACCCCCTGTCCCAGCCCCCTTACTTGCCTGTGGGTGCAGCAGCCTAGTCTGTGGAAGCCCTATAAATTATTTTACATATCTCAACCCCTCAGTGCAATCATATTGATGCTGGAACTTCTACCCCACCACCCGCCCCAGCTCAATGCGAATGCAAACTCCAGAAGACAGCAGTGGTGGGTTAAGCTGGTGCCTCCCATGTATGTGCAAGACCTGGACTAAATTTCTGGGTCTTGGTTTTATCCCCAGCTCATCCCAGGGGGCTGCAGGCAATAGGGAATGACTCAGAAGATGGGAAGACACTTTTTTTTTATTTGAAAGGCAGATTTTAGGGGGAAGATGAGACAGAGTTAGAAATCTTCAGCTACTCGTTCACTACCCAAATGGCCATTTCATCTGAGCCAGGACAAAGCCAGGAACCTGGAGTTTCTATCTTGGTGTCCCGTATAGGTGCAGGGACCAAGGACCGGTGCCGTCTTCTGCTGCTTTCTCAGGTCTTAGGCAGGAAGAAGGATCAGAAGCAGAGCAGTGAGGGCTAGAACTAGCACCCACATGGGATGCCAACATGACAGGTGGAGGATCAGCCTGTTAGGCCACTGCCAATCCCATATACTCTCTTTCCCCACTCTCTCTGCCTTTCAAATAAACTCACAGGCATTTTAAAAAGTACTTTTTGGGCCTGGTGGCGTGGCCTAGCGGCTAAAGTCCTCACCCTAAAGACGCCGGGATCCCATGTGGGCGCCGGTTCTAATCCCGGCGGCCCCACTTCCTATCCAGCTCCCTGCTTGTGCCCTGGGAAAGCAGTCGAGGACATGTCACTTGTTAGAGAGATGAATACATGTGGAATGTGTTTTAGCCATTCTTCACTGGTTAGAATAGGTGTGTTTTAGGTTCAAATCTTAGGATCTCTGAAATGGACCTTACCCCTAATCTACACAACATGCAAATGTGTCTGTTTAATCTTTTATATATGATATTTGTCATTAAAAACTTTATTCACTGACATTCAACTGGAATGAAAAAGTTTCTTTCTGGGGTCCAGCGTAGGATCCATCCAACCAGCATATAGGCGCTGGTTCATATCCCAGAAGCTCCACTTCCCATCCAGCTCCCTGCTTGTGGCCTGGGAAAGCAGTCGAGGACGGCCCAAAGTCATGGGACCCTGCACCTGCGTGGGAGACCTGGAAGAGGTTCCTGGCTCCTAGCTTTGGATTGGCTCAGCTCAGGCCGTTGTGGCCATTTGAGGAGTGAATAGTGGATGGAATAATCTTTCTCTCTGTAAATCTGACTTTCCAATAAAAACATATCTTTTTTTTTTAAGATTTATTTCTTTATTTTTATTACAAAGTCTGATAGTCTGATATATGGAAAGGAGAGACAGAGAGGAAGATCTTCCGTCCGATGATTCACTCCCCAAATGAGCGCAAAAGCCGGTGCTGTGCCGATCCGAAGTCAGGAGCCAGGAACTTCCTCCAGGTCTCCAATGTGGGTGCAGGGTCCCAAAGCTTTGGGCCGTCCTCTGCTGTTTTCCCAGGCCACAAGCAGGGAGCTGGATAGGAAGTGGAGCTGCCGGGATTAGAACCGGCGCCCATATGGGATCCTGGTACATTCAAGGCGAGGACTTTAGCCGCTAGGCCACACCGCAGGGCCCAAAACAAATAAATCTTTAAAAAAATGTTTCTTTCCTGTGAAGAATTTTAATGGTGCTGAGAAACATGGAATTCCTAATATACTGTTTGGGTTTCGTTTAAGATTTATTTTTATTAGAAAGGCAGATTTATAGAGAGGGGAGACAAAGAGAAAGATCTTCCATCTGCTTGTTCACTCCCCAAGTGATAACAATGGCCACTTTTGAACCACTCCAAAGCCAGGAGCCTCCTCCAGGTCTCCTATTTGTGTAAAGGGTCTCGGGCTTTGGGCTATCCTCCACTGCCTTTCCATGCTACAAAAGAAAAGGATTAGCCAGGATACGAACCAGTGCCTATATGGGATGCTGGCACTTGCAGGCAGAGGATTAACCAACTAAACATCATGTTGGCTGCAATACTATTTGTTTCGATAAAAAAAAAATTTTTTTTTCCCACTTTTCTTGTAAGGCAGGAAGATATATTCTGGTTGACAGCTGGGGCCAGGACAGACTGACACCAGAAGCTGGGAACCCAATCCAGGTTTCTTGTGTGGGTGACATGGACCCAAAGCAGTTGAGCCACCCTCTATTGCCTGCCAGGGTATACGTGAACAGGAAGCTGGATTGCAAGTGGAGTCAGGACTTGAACCAGCCACTCTGATAGGGGATATCAGGGACCCAAGCACATTGTTAACTGCTTAGCCAATTGCATCCCATGCCCCAGCTTAGTTATTTTAATTGACTACACTCTCAATTTTTTTTTTGGTAAGATTTATTAATTCTTATTGGAGCTGAGCTGATCCAAAGCCAGGAGCTTCTTCTAGGTCTCCCACATGGATGCAGGAGCCCAAGGCTTTGGGCCATCCTCTGTTACTTTCCTGGGCCACAAGTAGGGAGCTGGATGGGAAGTGGAGCAGCCGGGACACAAACTGGAGTCCATATGGGATCCCGGCACTTACAAGTGGAAGATTAGCCAGTTGAGCCATTGCAGCAGGCCCTATACTCTTAATTTCTAAAAGCTATCGGAAGATGCTAAGAGGAAGCTAAGTTATCTTCCGTTTTCCTTTCGTGGAACTTGGAAGGGAGGGGGTGCCCTTTGAGATGGGACATAAGCACAGTAGCAGCGAATTGAGTTCTGTAGCAAAAACTTTTATTGGCAGGTTGTCTTCCATCTGATCGTTCTGCAAAAGAGTATTTCCCCACAGCATGCAGCTTGGAACCACGTCTGAGGAGTAGACTGTCCGTCCGTGGGAATGATGTGCCTAACTTGCCTGTTTGGGGCCTGGGGAATATGGGAACAAAGCTTCCCTGAGGAGGGCTGTGTTCTGGGAGAGGGCAGGGAGCGGCTCCTGAGGCACAGCTGGTTAGACCCCTGCGCTCAGGAATCGCGCTGCTAGGCAGTTACACTCCAGGAGCGTAACTGTGGCTGCGGTGGCAGCAATGCCCTGGGAGACCTCTGAGCCCTGACATGACACGCGTCAACACAAAAGGTGTCTTGATCAGCACAGGGGCCTGGCTCATCATGGCACCGAGGTAGCACTGCCAGGAATCTTGTAGGCTGTGTGGGACATTAGGCTCTCTGCGGGCCTTGCCCACAGCTGTAAAAGCCTTTCACTCGCTCTCACTGGATCAACGCACGCCTAGTCTGGGTTGCCACATCCTAGCTGGTTGCCACATCCTAGCTGGTTGCCACATCTGACCGTCTCTTAACGGCAGGCAGCTGGAGATGTGGCGCGGGTGGTGAGGTGGCAAGGGCTGAGCCAGGAGCCGGGTAAGGCCAGGCGGGCAGACCGGCCCCATTAGGATCCGAGCTGTGCGTCAGCAGAAGACGGCATTCCTCTTGGGGTGAACACTTTATTCCCATTCCAGATAAGCTTTCCCTTTCACCTCAGAAGTTCCCTTGCAGCAGAGTCCCACGGAATCCAGGCTGGAAAGTTCCAGGTATACCCTCAACAGCCAGGCAGGCACCTGCTCCGTGGAGGTCACCCCTGAGAGAAGCGGCGGCAGCGGTCACCCCAGAGGTAGTTCTTGTTTGTTAAAAAGTAAACGGGCTGTTGCCCAGACACCGGGGCCTCACTGAGGAGCGGTGGTACCTGGTCTCGTTGGCCAGCCTCCAGTACCGGTCTCGCAGAAGAAAAGCTGCACTTTTGGGCTGCCTCTGTCGGGTGAAGATCCCCTTTTTGTTTCCCACTGGTCTCTGCGGGGCTAAAGGAAAAAGAATAAGCAGAAGACAGTTAAAGGTTAAGATGAGAGAAAAAGCAGCTCAAGTGATGGAGGTAAACTGAGATCCAGCCGGGCACGCAGTAAAAACGGTCCCTGTGGGTTAGGACCACGTGCTGGGCTTAAAGTGGCATCAGAAGTGACAGCTTTGAGGCTAAAGCATTAGGTGCCACTGTTCCCTCCCCAAATCACCGCAGCTCCCTGGTGTGCGAATGTCTGGTCAATCGGGGAAGAAACTCCAGAGGATTTTGCTCTGTGGCTTTTCTTATTACTGGGGAGCACTTTGATTACATGAGACTGTTGCTGGGCCAGGACAAAGTCAGGAACCCAGAACTTGGTGTCTCCTCCGTCGGCGGTGGTGGTGGTGGCGTACCAAGTGCTGGAGCCATTGCCTACTCCCAGAAGATGCGCTAACTGGACACTGAAATTGGGAGCGGAGCCAGGCTTTGAACCCCAGGCATTCTGGTACAAAAGGTGGACATCTCAACCGTGACGTCAGATGCCTGCCCCCTCAAACCATTATCTTTCATCTACAACATGAGGTTTAAACATTGTGGTCACGCACGTGTTTGATATGCAAGGCCAATGAGGGGACTGGTCCAGGAAATACGAGGAACTGTTAATCCCAGCCAGTCAGAGGCACCTGTGGTGGGCGTCGATTTCAGAGTTCCCACAGAACACTCTCCAGCCTTCTGCTGCCATTTCCCAGAGCCGAGGCTGGGCAAGGAGCAAAACTGGCAACAGCTTGGGAACAGCTGCACCTCCAGCAGCCTTTCCTCCCCGCTGACCCCCGGAGACCATGACGTCGTCATGGCAGTGGGTTACGCCACTTGAAATCCTGGCATCCCGTATCAGAGTGCTGATTTGATTTCTCTTGCTGCCCAGCTTGCTGTTAGCATGCCTTAGGAGGGCAGCAGCAGATGGCCCCCTTGGGCCCTTGCTGTCTACGGGGAGAGCTAGGTCGAGTTCCTGCCTTCTGGCTGTTGGCAGCCACTGGGGGAGTAGACTGGTACATGGAAGATTGCATTGTTCTCACTGTCACTCTTCCTTTTAATATGAGACACGAGACTCATTTCCTCCACAACAGGCGACTCTCCAGTATTGTCAAGCACTGTGTCAAATGGAATAGCAACATCAACCTGCAAGGTTCTGCGAAGGGCATTTGGCACAGCAGCAGGGGGATATGAGATACCCATATACCATATCCGGGTGCCTAGTTCTTATCCGGCTTCATGCTAAAGCACATCCTGGGAGGTTCAAGTGACCAGGTCTCTGCCAACCACGGAGCAGTTCCTATGCTCCATGCTCTGGCCTGGCCCAGTCCTGGCTGTTGCCAGCCATTTGGAAATGAACCAGTAGATTTAAGCTCTTCCGCCAATTCTCTAGCTTTCTGTCATTCTTTCAGTTAAATAAACAGAATTGAAAACAAGAAAGAGCCTTTAACGTGACAGGTGTAATTTTACTTTACTTGTGAAAGTTTGGATTGTTCAACCGATTCCTTACTGCACAAAACCGCCGTCTGGGTGTTTCCTGACCCCGTTTTTCTCGTTCACCATTCATTGAATTCTCTTTCTATACTAATGTTCAGTTAAACTTTAAACTCTCAAAGGCCCATCTTCTCCATCATTCCCACCACTGCCACAGTCTTCTCCACTCGCCTGAATGCTCATCCCACATTTACGGTAAGTCAGGAAACCAGAAGCCACAATGTGTGGGAAGAAACCCCAAACATTCACGTGGAACTTCCCTGAAGTTCTCTGGGGAAAGCGCTCTGGCGGAAGCTTCGCACACCCTCATATTCGAGGATGCTCTGAGCCTCACCTGTACGTGCCAGAGCCTGCTGCCGCTGAGCGGATGAAATGCCACACCCGGATCTGCCTGGCACTTCTCAGGCTCTGTGCCCTACTCTGGGATAATCACCAAAGCAGACCCAACCTGCGGCTCAATTCTGCCTTAGGTTATCGTGAGAAAGACAACGGCAAGTGAGGCATCGCGCCCGACCGCTGCCACTTACACTGGTTGGTCATAAAATCTGCAAAGTTCCAAACGAGCTCTCCCACCACGTATTCTTTGCGTTTCTGGTCCAGAACCAAGTGGTATTGCTCCAGCATGCTCTTCTGGTACTCCTCAGTGAACATCAGCGGTGGGTCCTGCAAGGCAAGGAAGGGGCAGTGTGCGCATGTGCAATAAAAATAAGGATGCACTTGGAGACGACCAAAATACTACAGAGGGCTGTAGCCACGTACACGCAGCCAGGTTATGAAAGAACCCAAACAGGATTTAAAAAAAAAAAAAAAAAGCCAGTACTGCTGTATTTACAAACACAGCTTGATACTTGCTTTATCTTCCTTTTCTATGTCTGAACTGTCTTAAAGCTGCACTGCCTCAAGCTTCAAGTTGCTGCTAGTGCATAATTTGAGAAGCAGCATGACTCAGCCGCACCCGCAGCTGGCGTGGCTAAGGAGCCACATGAGCCACTTTAGCCACACAACAGATAACCTCCCATCCGCTTATGGGACAGGCATCAACCATAAAGTGAGGAAGGGAGGCAACTCTGCCCTCGCAGGCTCGTAGTCCAGAGAGGGAGACACAGAGGAGCTGTCCACCACGTGTGACGAGGGTGAACAGGGAGAGGGCACAGGAGGAGGTGGGCATGGTTAGCAGGGGATCCAGCTGGCAGCCCTCCTGTGGGCAGCGTTAGGACACTGCCAGTTGGCGAGAAGACCCCCGACTCATGGATTTTCAGACAATACCCAGCACGGTGCTTTGTATCCTATAACTGTGCCCAAGGTGTTGTTGGCACACAAAGTCAGCTTTTTATCTCGGGGAATGCTTCGGAGCTCCAAGCCTCGGCTGCTCAAGGATGCAACGGCTCCATCAAGGGGGTGCTGGTTGACACAGTAGTTCGGAAGTGGCCTGGGCTGCCACATCCCATGTCAGAGGGCCTGGGTTCAGATCTCAGCTCTGCTTCTAACTCCCAGCTTCCTGCGGAGGTGTACCCTGAGGGCCAGCAGATGCTATTCCAAGTGCTTGGGCTCTGCCACCCACATGGGAAAACTGGATGGAGTTCCCAGCTTTTGGTTTTTGGCCTGGCCCAGCTCCGGCTGTTGGATTTGGGCAGTGAACCAACAGACAGAAGATCTGTGGGGTTGGGTGGGGTGGAGCGCTTTTAAAGACAAAATAAAATTTTTAAATTTTCAATTAAAAAAAAAAAACAACTAAACTCAAGCAAACTAATCCCATTTTCAGTAATCAAGGTCTGGGACAGCTTGTACTGCCCCATTCACAGCTATCATTTCCATCTTTGCAAAGGTTCTGTCAGTTTCTATCAAACTGGGGGAGCTTCTTTCTTGTGACTTATTTTTTTAATTGGAAAGTCGGATGTATAGAGAGGAAGAGAGACAGAGAGGAAGATCTGCTGTCCAATGGTTCACTCCCCAAATGGCCACAATGGCCTGAGCTGGGCCAATCCGAAGCCAGGAAGTTTTTCCGGGTCTCCCGCGCAAGTGCAGGGTCCCGAGGCTTTAGGCCATCCTTGACTGCTTTCCCAGGCCACAAGCAGGGAGCTGGATGGGAAGCAGGGCCTCCGGGATATGAACAGTTGCCCATATTGTATCCCTGGCACACAAAGCGAGGACTCCAGCCACTAGGTTACTGCACCAGGCTCCTGGGTTTATTCTTCAAAGAGGGAGAACAAATTCACACACCAATGAGCTATTTTCTTATATTTTACAACTTGTACAGGTAGCATTCTATGTCAGCAGGTGAATTTAAGGGTGCAAACTGAACAGCACAGTCCGCCATGGGTAGCAGTTCACTCACAAAAGATGCACACATAAAGAAATGCTTGCTGGGCCCAGCGTGGTAACCTAGCGGCTAAAGTCCTCGCCTTGAATGCGCTGGGATCCCATATGGCCGCCGGTTCTAATCCCGGCTGCTCCACTTCCCATCTAGCTCCCTGTTTGTGGCCTGGGAAAGCAATCAAGGACGGTCCAAAGGCTTCGGGATCCTGCACCTGTGTGGGAGACCTCGAGGTAGTTCCTGGCTCCTGGCTTTAGATTGGCACAGCACTGGCCACTGTGGTCACTTGGGGAGTGAATCATCGACGGAAGATCTTCCTCTCTGTCTTTCTTCCTCTGTGTATAACTGACTTTGCAAAAATACATAAAATCTTTCAAAAAATAAAATAAAAACAAAATGCATCTTTATTTTCAAAAAGAAGAAACGTGTGTCAACAAGGGGTCCCAAGAATCACGACAGAGCAAGCGACAGGTGGCTAGGGGGAGGAGGCAAAGGACTGGCTATGGTACATGAAGAGGCACGCGCTGGGTACAGAAGTTAAGTCACCACGTGGGACACCCACATCCCACACTGAGTGCCTGGTTTGAGTCTTGGCTACCCCACTTGTGATCCAGTTCCCTGCTACTGGGAGGCAGCAAGTGATGGCTCACGGGCTTGGAGGACCAGGATGCAGTTTTAGGCTCCTGCCCGGCCCAACGTTGGCTGTTGTGAGCATCTGGGGAGTGAACCACGAGACAGCAGATCTCCCTCCACCTCCACCTGTGTCTGTTTTTCTCCCTCTCTCTCTCTCCCTCTATTCTCTCTCCTATCAACTTAAATTAAATGCCAAAAAAAAAAAAAAAATCCACGTTAAAAAAAATCCCCCAACACAGCAGCATATCTTTGGTATAGAAATGGACCAAAACAATGAGAACAAAGCTGATGACTGAACTTCGCTCCAAAATGTCACTCGTTGCCTCCATCTTATTTAGCACCTGCTAGGTATCAGACACTACTGAGTGCTCGGGAAGCAAGCATCACCTCATCCCTTTGCACCCTCACAGTCTGGCCAAGGTTGAAGAGTAAGTAAACAATGCAGGGACGGCGGAAACGCCAACGGGTACTCAGCCTGGAACGGGTGGGGTAAGCCTCTCCAAAGAGGCTGAGCCGAGACCTGACACTTCACAGGAATCTGTCGGTGACTGTGGTGCGAACATGAGGTTGCACACGGAGAGAACAGCCTAAGCAAGAACAGGGGGTGCAGACCTCTGCAGGGTCACCTGCCCATCGGCATCCAGTGAGGCCATTCAGCAGCCAGGAGTGACAGGAGAGAGGAAATGAAATCCTGGACAGGACAGGTAGCGAAGGACATCTCTAACCTGACCAGGGTGAGGGCTTGGTACCGTAGACCAAGGGGCACACCAAGGGATTTGCTTAAAAAAAAATAAGACCACTTGCATAGGTGGGGGTCTTTGAGGATCCAGCAAGTGGGGCGAGTGAGTGTAAGGATGGCTGAAAGGAAGCCATCAGTGTGGGGGGGACGAGTGGTGTCACTGGCCAGGAGTGGCACAGCAGGCAGAATGCAGTACTCGACCTACCTGGTGAAACCCTGCGATGGTCTCTGCTCCGTACTCGCTCTGGATGATGGGCTTCTGGTAGGCCCCGTACCAGCTCTCAAACTGCGACTCCAGCTGCAGCCGAATCAACTCCAAGTGCCCGTAGTCATGATACCAAGAGTAGTAGCTGTTGATGCAGATCACGTCCACATACGGAGCCTGGGACAAGAGTGCCAAAGGGTGTTCACTAACCATGAGATGGAAACAGTGTTAGGGCCCTGGCAGAGAAGACAGGGAAGGGATACAGAGGATGAGTCAGATCCTGGGACGATCCCACCCCATGTGCAGGAAATCGGAAGTGACCCAGAGCAGCAGGGCTACATTGCCGGGCTGACTGCACCCCTCCTGAGTCAGCTGCAGTGGGGGTCCCACAAGGGACCTGAAGTGGAGAAGTACAGGCATAAGCAAAGCCTTCAGGATACCTCCGGCTGGAATCTTCACCCATCTGAGTGTTGACCTATCTAGTAACATCATCAACCTCCAAAGTCTGCCCTTGGACTGACACGATCTACCCCAACAGCCGGCAGCCCCTTCACAGACTTTGAGCAGCAGGAAGATGCAAGCAGGGGAAAGCTGGGGACAGGGGCAGGTGGGTCCTCTCAACCATCCCAGACCTCAGGCCATCAGTCAGTCTGGCAGCCTCTCACGAGGCCAGGCACAAGGGAGTCCACAAGAAGCAATGGCAGTGGGTACGGGCACTGGGGACAGCTGTTAAAATGCCTGCATTCAGATGCCCACTCCACCATTCAGATTCAGCTACCTGCTATTGTACAGCCTAAAGGAGCAGAAGATGGCACAAGAATGTGGGTCTCAGACCACGTGGGAGACTCAGACGGGTTCCTGGTTCCCAGCTTTGGCCTGGCATGGCCTGGTCCCGGCTGTTGCAGCCGTTTGCAGAGTGAACAGCAGATGGAAGCTTCTCTTTCCAGCCTTAGGCCATACTAGAGTTCATGGCAGTCTTTGTGCCTCTTGGAGGGCAGAACATAAGGCCAACACAGCATTCTCCATCAATGGCAAAATGATGGCATCACAATCTGTGAGCATACTGGTTTCTTCTTTTTCAAGATTTATTTATTTTGGTTGGAAAGAGTTACAGAGCGAGAGGAGAGACAGAGCTTCCATTGCGTGCTTTACTCTCCAAAGGGCTAGAACTACCACAGACAGGTCAGTCCAAAACCAGCGGCCAAGAGCTTCTTCTGGGTTCCCCCACATGGGTTCAGGGTAGCAAGACTTTGGACCATCCTTAGCTGCTTTTCCAGGCCACAAGCAGGGAGCTGGATTGGAAGTGGAGCACCCAGGACTCAAAAACTGGTGCCCACAAGAGATGCCAGCACCCACAGGCAAAAGATGAGCCATGACACCACCACGCAGGCCCCATGCACACTGATTTTCATCCATTTTTCTTTTCCGTCTTTCTTCCTTCCTTTCAAGATTTATTTATTTTTATTGGAAAGGTCTACAGAGAGGAGATACAGAAAAATCTTCATCCGCAGGTTCATTCATGTGGCTGCAATGGCCAGAGCTGAGCTAATTGAAAGCCACAAGCTGGGAGCATCTTCCAGGTCTCCCACATGGGTGCAGGATCCCAAGGCTTTGGGCCATCCTCCGCTGTTTTCCCAGGCCACAAGCAGGGAGCTGGATGGGAAGTGGAGCAGCAGGGACATGAACCAGCATCCTTGTGGGATCCCAGCATATGCAAGGTGAGGATTTATCCAAAGCCATCATGCTGGGACCTCTCATCCATCTTTCCCTTCTATAGCAACTTCCACTGACAGACTCCCCAAGGGAAGGAGCACTCTGCTGTCCCTGTGTCTTAGAGCCACAGGGCAACTCCACACAGTTTCTGAGGGGAGAGATGCTGGACCCCCAGACTCCCACATGCTGGAACGCCTGGGGAAGCCACGTGGGATACAGCCAGCAGTTGACCCTTTCCTTTCCATGCTCAGTCCGACAGTGGTTTCCAAGCTGCCTCATCACTGCACTCACTAAGCAGGTTTTAAAAAATCCAGTTCTGGAGCTCAGCACTGTGGCACAGCAAGTAGAGACTGTGACAGCTGTGACACCAACTTCCCACGTGGGCACTACTTTGAGTCCGGGCTATTCCGCTTTGATCCAGCTCCCTGCTAATGCATCTTGGAAAGCAGTGAGGGGCTGGTCCAAGGGGGCGATCTGCCGGAAGTTCCAGGCTCCTGGTTGATACAGTCATTTGGAGAGTGACCCGGTGGATGGAAGATCTCTTTCTCTCTTTTAAATGCAAATACAAATAAATCTTTGAAAACAAATCCAGGTTCAACTCCTGGACTTAAAAAAAAAAAATCAGAAACGGAGAGGCCAGTGTAGCAGTGTCTCAGGATAATCCTCCACCCGCGCCATCATCCCGTATGTGTCCAGGCTGCTCCACTCCCCATGCAGCTCACTGCTCATGTCCTGGTGGGGCCGCGGAGGATGGCCCTGCCACCTAAGTAGGAGATTACAAAGAAACTCCTGGTTTCCGGCTTCAGATCTGCCCAGGTCTGGCCATGGTGGCCAACTGGGGAGTAAACCTCCAAATGGAAGATCTGTCTCTCTTTCCCTTTCTTTCTATAAATCTGATCTGCCTTCCCAATAAGAATAAATAAATCCTAAAAGAAAAAAAGGGGGAGGCCCTTAGGAGCTAGCACCGTTGTATAGCTTGTTAAGCCTACACTTGCAATGCCGGCACCCCATATGGACACTGGTTTGAGTTCTAGCTGTTCCGCTTTCAATCCAGCTCCCTGCCGGTGTGCCTGGGGAAGAGGGTCCAATTTGTTGTGTCCCTCCCCCCACATGGAAGACCCCCCAAAGCTCCTGGCTTTGGCCTGCCTCAGCCATTGTGGTATTTTGGGAGTGAAGCAGCAAATGAACATCTACCCTCTGCCAAATGCCCAGGTTTGGGAAACCTTGGGCCAAATGGACCGAAAGCGCCTTTCCACTTTTGACATCCTACAAACCTGAGGGACACACAATTAACCCAAGGTGTCCCAAGGTCTCTGTGCTGAGAAAGTCCTTCCCCTCGGCCCTGCCTCTGAAGAATCAGGAAGCCACGCTGCCTGGCAGGTCAGCAGACGGGCAGCCAACTGGTCACCTAAAGACCATCTGTGAATACAGCTAACTGGCTGCCCGCAGCTCTCTCAGAAGTTCAGGTTAGCAAGCATCGGGACAGGATGGGAAAGGCAGACAAATGCTGAGAGAAGTGACGTGGACCGCCCCCTCCCACGCCGGCTCACCCCCAGGTCTGTAGTGTAGTTGGAGTTGGTCACAAATGTCACAGGCCGGGAGGGGTCCAAGGCTTTGGTGTGGGCAATCACGGTCCTGTCCACAGAGGGCAGAAGACACGGGCTCCATCAGGCCGGTGGGGAGGGAGACAGACTCTCACCCTTTCCCTCCCTCTGCCCCTGGCCCAAACCCGAAGCAGCCATTGGCTCTCCTGCCTACCTCCACCTACACAAGTATTTCAGAATGTCTGTTGTGGAAATCAGAATTAAGAGATAGGTTCGCTTTTGTTGAAGCCATGCTTACGAGGGCAGGCTTTTGAGAAAGTTGTGCACAACATAGCATTATTGCAAAACACATGTATGGATTAAAAAACAAAAAAAACCCTCTTGGCATCAAGATGCCCATCTTTTGACAGGTTTTTCCATGCAGTTCTGAAGCACCCCCAAATATCTGAGTAAGCTGACGCCTCCCTTTCTCTCCTTGACTCCCAGCTGCGCTCCCAAGGAAGAGCTGGCAGGTCAGGCCAGGGTGAGTGTCAATGGCACAGATCATCAGGGAATGCGCTAGCAGACAGTTGGGGTGCTGCGTGTGGGGTGCTGCGTGTGGGGTGCTGGCCAGCAGCAGCGGCAGCAGCAGCGGCGGCCGGAGCTGCACGGAGCAGAAGGATTACATGAACAGCTTGTGGCCTCGCTGAAGTCACTGTAGGAGCAATGTCAGGAGGAGGGAGTGTGGGGTTCCAGGAGACAAAACCAGGGAACTAATAATACGTGTGGGCAAGGCAGGGCCAGGCCCCTGGAGGAAATGGCATTCAGGATGAGCCAAGCGGGCCAAGGAGGAATGGAGAGGCTTCCAGAAGGCAGCCAGTCTGTGGCCAGGGCTTGGTCGGGGTCTCAGGGACCACCCACGCCTGCTTTTCTCTTCTCTTCTCTGCCCTCAGTTTCGTTTTATAACCTCACCACGGTTCTGATGAAAGGCTGTGTGTGGTTCCTCCGCATGGCACGTCTCTTTGCTTCAAGTGCTACACTCTCTGTCATCCGGGAGATTCTGATGCCACAACAGAGGCTAGCACTGCTGCTCCACCCGAAGCCTGCCCATCCCTACCGCCCAGGCAACCTGCATCTCTCCCTCTACTGCCCACAAAAGCTGGCTCCTGGGAGCCCAAGCTCCTCACCTTCCAACTCCATTCCCCACATGGTTACAAGAGCCAGAACTGAGCCAGGCTGAAGCCAGGAGCTCAGAACTCCATCCTGCTCTCCAACATGAGTCCAACCACCTGCGCCATCTTCTGCTACTTTCCTAGGCGTATTAGTAGGGAGCTGCGTAGGAAGCTTGGAGCTGCTAGGACTCAAATGGGGGTGCTGTGGTATGAAGTGGCATTGGCGTAAGTGGCATGCTAAGCTACTGTGCCACAACACTGGCTCCCTAACAGTAGCTGTCTCCTCCCCCCTTGGAGAACTGGCCTGCCAATGCAGAAGATGGCCTGAGAATTTGAGTTCCTGCCCCCTACACAGGAGACCCTGATGGAGCTTCTGGCTCCTGGCTTCAGCCTGGACAAACCCTGGCTGTCGGTGGCCATTTGGGGAAAGAACCAGCAGATGGAAGACCTCGCTCTCTCTTTCTCTCCCTTCTGCCTTTCAAATAAACAAATAAGTCTTAAAAAAAAAAAGAAGAAGAATGTTCTATCTGCTAAACTCTGGCTTAACCCACCACCCTGCACCCCAAGAGCGCTGGGGGCTACGGGTGTTCAGAGCCCTCTGCAGACTCAGCTCTCTCAAAGCACTGCAAGAGACCAGGATGCAGCATCAGCCTCAGAGTTTCCGTGCCTCCACTACTGTGAAAGAATTTACCCCCCAAGACTGCTACACCCTGTAAGGAGAGGGAATATCCCCAGGGGGCAAGGGGCAGGCTCCCTCAGTGACATCAACCCTTCTACCCCCAAGTGGTACATCTGCCCTTTGCAGAGGGCTGAGCGGGATGGGGTCAGGCAACTGACATTTGATGAGTGGAATCAACAGCAGATGGTCTGGTCCCAGCCAGCAACATAACCACAGAGGACCCAGAAAGCACACGTCACCGAGGGCCTGGTTGTGTCATAAAGCCCAGGCCCAGCCTGTGGCACGGCAGGTTTGTGTTGCATCAGCACCAGATCTGCCCGGAAGACTGAGCGATGAGTCCACAAGTCTGACCGGTGCTTTACCAGAGCTGCCCATCCCCATGAGAAGGGACAAGGCCTGCCCCGTGCCCATGCGGTGCCCTCTCAGTTTGCTGCTGTAGCTGAGCTCTGGGGGTACATGTGAGTGGTTCGACCTCCTCACAGTCCATTACAAAAACTCCTTTTATTACAACTAGACCATGTCACTCGTTTGGGAGGTTTCCTCTCAATGTGAAGTTGCGCATATCAAACTGGATTTCCTTTCAGATGTTTTTAGGGTCTCCCAGGTTGGCAAGCCCAGTGCCACAAGTCAACACTTGGAGCTGACTGGCCTGTGTTTGGGTGTAGCTGCTCTCCAGTCTGGACCAGACCGAGAGGATACTCCCTTCCAGTACAGGTCCACCCCTGATGAGGTCAAGCCCAGCACAGCCACAGCCACCAGCTGGGCCCCAGGTCCCTGTCTCAGCCCAGGGGAGCCCCGGGGACACTCACTTGAAGTAGTAGCCAGCAGGCTTCAAGAAGGACTTGGGTTCATTGGCCACAGACCACATGACCACAGCTGGGTGATTCTTGTCCCTGCGTACCAGTTCCTCCATCACCTCCAGGTGGTGCTGCAGGGACACGTTGCCATAGTTCTGGCTGCAGCCAGAGGGGAAAGGAAAGGAAGTGGCATTACCACTCTGCAGGGCTGGGCAGTCCAGGTGGGGAAGGGTGGGCTGGGGTACTCACGGCAGCACGATGCCCACGCCGGGACACTCATCGATGACCACGATCCCATAGCGGTCGCACAGCTGCATCACCTCCTCAGCGTAGGGGTAGTGGCTGGTGCGGAAGGAGTTGGCCCCGAGCCAGCGCAGCAGGTGGAAGTCCTTCACCAGCAGCGTCAGGTCAAAGCCCCTGCCTCGGATCTACAGGGGGATGGCAGAGCAGACTGATGCCCTGCCTCCTCCACCCCGGCTGAAGGCATGCTCCCTCCTGAGCCAGGACCCAGACGCTTGGTTCATCATCCCTGACCTCCCCCTTGCCAGGGCCCATGAGGACATAGGGGTTTTCAGCAACCCTGAGCTGCAACTCAGCCACTTCCAGGCCCAGGACGGGGGTGGGAGAGGAAGTGAGAGGAGACCATCAGAACGAGAAAACAGACTCTGCAGGGTCCTCGGGGATTCCCCTGCTGGACTCACATCTGAATCCTCATGCTTGTTGACGCCGTGGAAATAGAACGGTTTCCCGTTGATGAGGAAGCGGCTCTCCGTGACAGCCACGGTACGAATGCCCACGGGCAGCGTGTAGAAGTCAGACATGGGACCAGATGCTGTCTGCGCAGTCAGCCTCACCTATGAGAGCCAAGGCCCCAGACGTGACTGACCACCCTCTGGCCTGAGCCCACCAGCCTTGCCCACCAGTAGGAAGAACCCTCGGACACCATGGCAGCCCACCTTCTGGGCCTGCGAGCGGTGGTGCAGAAAGCACTATGATTAGCAAGAAAGGGCCTACCCCTCCCCTACCCAGGGACCTGCTCTTCAAAGCTGGGCCTCCCCACCCACTGAAGGCTGGAAATGGATCAGAAAGCTGAGGGGACCATGCCTGCCCACCCACCTATCCTGCTGTCAGATTTGGGGGAGGGAAGAGGGCCGGGTATTACCTCCAGCGAGTACAGGTATGCAGGGTGCTCATGCATCAGGTAAGGCCACCAGAGGTTGGCACTGGGCACCTGCAGCTGGCCCCGGCCACCTGTTCCCTGGGCCACAGCTTTGCTTTCCTTATCCAGGAGTCTCACTTCCAGGAGGAAGTGCTCGGTGCCCTGGACAGAAATCTGATAATTCACCAGCCCTGCAGCAAACGAGAGAGGTCAGGGCTATAGCAGGGAGGGACGTGACCCGGTCCCATGGGCAGAAGCACCCTGCAGCCAACGCTCTCGAGGTGCCCCTGGGTGCTCCACCCAGGCCTGCCTGTTTCCTCAGCTCAGTATGCAGTGGGCAGAGGAAGCGAGGGCAGCACAGCAGCAAGGGATACAACGCAGGCCGCTTCTCCCAGGCACAAAATGAGGGACGGGGGGAGGTGGGCTTTGGAGGCCCTTGCCTGCATGGACAGTCAGGTTCTGGCTTCTTGAGTACATAGGAACCTGCGAGGGTGAAGAAACGCTGGCAGAGCCTCAGGAGGCCTTTCCAGAGAGCAGAGCCACTTGGGCTGGGCTGACGACAGACCCGGGGAGGGACCCTCACCAGTGCCTTGGTCCACATCGGTGGTGATAGTAATGTCATCAATGTAGGCGGTGGGTGTGGTGTACAGTAGCACAGTGCGGTGAAGTCCCGCATAGTTGAAGAAGTCGAAATTCGTATCCTGGACAAAGTAGCCCTTGGGATACCTAAGGTGGGAAGACAGCGGCCAGCTGCTCTCATCTCAGGTCCCTCGATGTCCTGGCGCACCTGCCCTGCCCTCCACCCCGCCACCCCCCAGACCCCCGGCTTCTGCTCAGCCAAGCTCCATCCCCACCCCTACCTTCCCCCTGGCAAGGCCAGCACAGGCAGGGCAGAAGTTGGGAGCTGCTCACTTGGAGGGGTCACTCTTGTAGAGGATGGAACCCGGTGGCAGGGTGTGAGGGGTAAGCGTGTTGTTGACAGCGACTGTGATACGGCAGGAGGCCAGGGGCCCACTCTGGACCAGCTTGCTGATGTCAGCCTCGAAGGGGAGGTGGCCGCCCTCATGCTCTGTCACGTGGACCCCGTTCACCCACTGCAGACACAGAGGCAGCAGGCCAGGGCATGAAGGGACCCCACCATCTCAGGCATTCCCTCACATAAGGCGCAGTGCAGGGGTCGGGGTGTTGGGGGGCAAGAGACCTGCCTGGCCAGCCTGGCCTTAAAGCTGGGACTCCGAAGAGACTGGGCAACCCCTTTCTCCACCCAGGGTACAAAGCTTGAAAGCACTCCCAATTCCCCCCGAAACTGCCCCATCCCCAGATACAAGCTATTAAGTCACAGCTGGGAACCAGGCATCCCCAGGACGGCCCGTGCATGCGGGTCAGCCAGCCTGTCCCTTGCTGTCCGCACTGACCACAATGGCATAGTAGTGGGCACTGCCAATCCTCAGCACCACTCTCGTGTCCGGGTCCTGGATCCACCGCTGGGGCAGGGTCACTTCACGTTCGTACCACACCCAGCCAATAAAGTTACGCAGCTGCCCGTCCTGGCTCACGTCGTTGAAGCTAGAGGGGACTGGCATGTCCACAGTGGGGCCAGACTGGGGAAAGAAAAGGCCAAGGTCAAGGTCACACCTCTGGGGCCCGTGTGCCTCACAGCTGCCTAGCTCAAGCCTGATTCCAGTTAAATGCAGGCAGGACTTGCCCGGGAGGGTCAGGTGTCCCAGGGCCAGTGGGGGGGCCTCCCCTCCGCGGGCAGGGGGCACCGAGGACCACATGGGCACAGCGAAGGGAGGTTTTCCCAGGGTCCCCTGTGGCAGGAGGAAGCCACAGATCCTCAAGAAGCAGCTGATGGTTGATTCCAGGTCATGAGACAGGCACAGGCGGGTCCCCTGCCCTCCTTCCTTCCTGTGAGAAGACCAAGAAGGCCAGGGCAGCAAAATCGGCAAAAAGAGGATCTAGGAGGGGCTGGCATCCTCTCTCTGTCTCTCTCTCTGCAGACCCCAACCCCTGCTCCGGGAGCGGAGTAACTAACGGGCTGGCTGGGCCGCTCTCCTCTACCTCAGCCTTGGAATTCGGGGTTCCTGCCCCAGAGGCCCATCCCGGCCAGCCTCAGGCTCCGCAGTGCAGCCGCGGGGCGCAGCCGGGACTCGGCCTCCTCTCCCAGCTCCACGCCCCCCACCCCGAGCCCAGCGACCTTTACGGGCGGCTCCGAGGGCGCGGGGCGAGGGGGGAGCTCGTGCTGCCGGGCGAAGGACCCGGGACCCCCCCCCCCATCCCCACCGCGTGCCCGCACCTCCCGCAGCGGCCGGCGGTACCACTGCTGCTCGAAGCCCTCGTGCCGGCCGGCGGAGAAGTCGGCGCGGAAGCTCCACAGGCCGTCCAGCTCCTTGCGCTCCCGCGACGGGCTCTCGCGGGGATACAGCATCCCACCCCGCAACGCCAGCGCGCAGCTCCAGAGCAGGGGGCCGAGGAGGGCCCAGGACCCCGCCGGCCTCCCGGGCATGGTTCCCGCGCAGTGGCTCCGTCTCCAGCAACCGCTAGGTTGGGAGTCGCGCGGGAGGCGGGCCCGGGGCGGGGCGCGTCAAGTGTCACGCCTGAGGCTGTCCACGCCATCTTGGGTGAGGGCGAATGCCAGCCCTGGAGTCACACCTGTAGTACACAGACTCTCAGACTGCCAGCCCGGAGCCCCAGGCAAAGCTTTCCTGGGATGGGCACACACAGCCCCGGGGCCTGAGGTGCCCCGCCAGCCTCGCCCAGCCCACCTAGCCCTGCTCTGCCCACGCTGTGGCTGCCCTTTCCACTCCAGGAGCACCCAGGTCAGGGCCACATACCGATGGGGAAATCCTGAAATGGCCAGGGTCCCCCAGCTTCCTCCAGGGGCTGGATCTGAGACCCCTTTCCACAGTCTAGTCCTGACAGCACACGAAGCAGCTTCAAACCAAGACCCAGTGGTCCCAAACCCACCGGGGAACTGGGACTCCATCCTGGTTCACCCAGCACTGGGAACATGAGGCCAAAAATGAGGGCACTTGCAGGGCTGAACATCCGGCCAGGACATGTTGTTGCTAAAATCACGCAACTTTTTTTTTCTTTTTCTTTTCTTTTTCTTTTTTCTTTTTTTTTTTTTTTTTTTGACTCTGATATGCTCACCAAAGCAATCCACTTTGATCATGGACTTTGATCCTGGGACTAGAATCCCCAAGATAGTAAAAATAAATAGAGGAAATGACAAAGTCCAAAGGTTTTTCTTCATATAAAAATATGAGAAAATTCGGTGCAGAAATGTACTCAGAATGATCCCAATGTTAAAATTGTATCGACACGGATATGGGGCACATGTGTTGCGCATGCGTGCTTATGTTATTATTATCACTATTATTTTGATAATCTTTACATAGTTGATTAGGGCACAAAGGGTCAAGGGCTACAGGAAAATGGGTAAGACCATTGTTTTCACATTATTATTATTATTTTTTTCCTAGGTCTGAGGTAAGGAGAGAATAAAGAGAGAAGGCACACCCAGCCTCCCACCCATGTGGGGGGCATGCTCTGAGGGCACTGCTCAAGTGCAGGATAGTCCAACAGTTGTGAATTGCTGCCAGTCTCGCCATTCCAAGCACGATGAAATCGCTCCAGAATCCACTAGCTGACACAGTCTACCTTAGAGTTTCCATTTGCCCAGATTTTCACTGCCAACACATGCCAGGGGGAGATATCGAAATTTGTTTTGACCTCTGTCCTCTGTTGTGGTACCAGGTGTCCTCTGCAGGTTCCAACAGACTGCCATATCCTCCATGTGCACCTGGTTATGCTGTCCACTGTTTCGTCTGAGCCTCTGAGGAGGCTCGGCTCTAACACTTGCACTCCATGGCAGACCATGGAACCTGCACTTCTCTTCATGGTTAGGGTTCTGAGTCCGGCAGTTCGATTGGGGAGGTCCCCAAAGAAACTTGGTCTGAGGTGATCCCAGGCCTGAATCTTGTGTGTGCATGCCAGTCCAGGGTCCGGCAGTCCACCACCCCAATCAGCTTACGCACATGCTGGTGGTTGCAATTGCGGGGTCAGTTCCATTTCCAGCCCTGTCTTCCACATGAACTGATGGGTGTTGCAGTCTAGCCCAGTCCTGCCCACCTCATACTCGGCCCTCACGCAAAACAGTGGGAGCTGCAGCCTAGTTGGGGTGACTCCCAATAACTCCCACAAGGCTTGCCCCCTGCCCTGGTTCCCATCCTTGCCAGTAAGTATAGCAGACTAGTCCAGTCTGTCCCACATCCCATTCAGCTCTCCTATATGTCAGTGGATACTGAAGCCTAGTTCAACCCAACAAGCACCATTATCCAGCCCACACACATGCTGGTGGGTGCCCTTCTGTCCAACCACCCCTGCCCCAGTCCTGATTTTCATGCTCTCCAGTGGGAGTGGTAGCCCAAGAGGGAGGTGCCCACTATTTCTGTCCTGGGTCATACACTTTCCAGGTGGTTCTGGAATTTAGCTTGACAGAATTAGCCCCCCAGTGCCAGCCTCTGCCAGCTGATGTTGCGGCAAAGCCCAACCAACCCTCACCCACTCTGATTTATGCTTGCACCAGTAGGAACAATCAGCCCAACCTGGTTTTTTCCCTGATTTAGCTCACATGAGGCCCACAGGCCTGGTCTGGTCTGTCCCCATCTCGACTCATGCTCTCCAGTGGGAGTGGCTGTCCAGCAAGGGAGCCCTCCACGTTCCCCCTGCTAGCTTTATCCCTGCCCTCCCCCCAGGTCTTGTGTGTGCTGGTTGGGCGCTATGGCACAATCTGGCATGGCCTACCTCACCTCAGCTTTTGCCAATGGCTGCTGTAGCCTGGCCCTGCCCACCCCCAATTACAACTCAGCTTGGTGGGGGCAAAAGCCTAGCCCAGCCCAACCGGCACCAAGTCCAAGCCATAATGTGTACTGATGTGTGTTGCAACCGAACGTGGTCTGACCCACACTCCGTTCTGGTGCTCGAGTTTGCCAGCAGGTGATATGAACCTGTACCAAATGTTTGCCACTGGGTACTGTTCCTGATCTGGTCCAGGCTGCTCCCTTTCGTGGTTCTTGGGCTCACCTGCATACAATGTCCCAACAGAGTTTCCCAGACTCCTCCATCAGAACCATTCCCAATGCCAGATCTCGTGCACATGGGTGGGTCCATGGGCCAGCCCTACTCAGTCTACCTCCTGATCTAGCAGGAACAATGGCCTTTCCTGACCAGCCTTCAACCCATTCCGGTTATTATTGTTGGGTGTTATAGCCCAGTCTAGCCTGGTCCACACGCAGACACAGCTCATAGCTGGCTCATCAGGGGCAAAAACCTAGCCTAGCCCTCCCTACACCTACCCTGGTCCTCACGAACACCAGTGGGTGCTGGGGTCTAACCCAGTGTGGTGTACTCAGCCTCAGGCTACACTTGTGCCAAGGTATGCTACAGCCATGTCCAGACCAGAACATGGCTCCCATTCCAGCCCCGTGCTTACCAGTGGGAACCACAAACCAGCCAGGGTGTCTCCTTAGCTCCCCAACTAGATGTGTTCCTGGCTATAGATCTTGCACATGGCAGTGGTTGTTCCAACCTAGCTTGTCCTAATCCCTCACCTGTCATGACCTTTGTGTTTGGGTGCTGTAGCCTGTCCTGAGCAGCCTAAACCAAGTCCCACTACTCACTGGCGGGTGCTGGAATCTGGTCCTGCTCCGTCTGCTCCCCTCCTAGTCTCATGCAATATGGTATGTGTGACAGCTTAGCTGAACTTGACCTGTGCTCCAGCCTGGTTTCTGTCCTTGCCAGTGAAGTAAGGTTGGTTCGGCCCTGCCCGCTCGCCCCACTCCAAAGCCAACCCACACATTAGCCGGCCAGAAACAAGTGCTCACCAGCAGGAGACGTGACCCCCAACAGATTCTCCAGGTTCCCAGGTTCCTCCACTCGGTCCACTCCCTGACCCAGAGCTCACATGCTCCAGCAGGTGCAAGGTCCTTGCCCGCCATAGCCTGCCACTCCATCTTAGCCTTTTTATGAGCCGGAGAATATTGCGGCCCGGCCTGCCTCACACCCTGTGGTAGGATGCCTGTTTGAGTACCGCAGCCTTGACCTGTCCATGCTGCCAGCAGCCCCAGCACCTATGAGTTTTGGTGGGTTCTGTAGTCGATCCTAGCTCAGCCCATCTCCACCCCAACTCTTAAGCTAACCAACAGGACCTGTATCTCCACAGGGTTGGGCCCATTTATCCCCCGCAGCATCTACCTCCGGACCTGGTTCTCTCACGTGCTGCTTGGTGTCATGACCCTTTCTAGTGTGACTCATCCCTGTTCCGACACTCAGTCAGATACTGGGATCCAACCCTGCCAGACAGGCCCTCAGCCATAGCTTTGGTGTGGACTGGCATGTGGCAGTCAGGGTGGCCAGCAGGCATTGCCTGGCACCTAAGGGTGCACTGGCCGCCCAACAGCCAGGACTCATTCACCATGTGGCGACAGTGTCCGTGGGCAGAGTCGCAGGCTTTGAGTCCAACCTGGCTTGGGTACTCCGCAAGCGAGCCACCACACTGCAGAGGGCTGCTGTCACCCGAGCCTCCAAGGTCGAACTCACACGCATATATATGTTGTCTTTAGTGATTTCCAATTTTCTCTTCATGCTTTTCTGATTTTTCCAAATTTTCTGTAGCAAATGGGTTATTTTTATGATCATAATCAGATCCGTGAATGTTTTTCCTTTCTTTTTCTTTTTGGTAAAGATTCTTTTTTTTTTTTTCTTTTAATTTGAAAGTCAGATATACAGAGGGGAGGAAAGACAGAGAGGAAGATCTTCTGTCTGCTGATTCGCTCCTCAAGTGGCCACTATGACCACAGCTGAGCTGATCTGAAGCCAGGAGCCAGGAGCTTCTTCCAGGTTTCCCATGTGGGTGCAGGGTCCCAAGGCTTTGGGCCGTCCCCGACTGCTTTCCCAGGCCACAGGCAGGGAGCTGGATGGGAAGTGGAGCAGCCGGGATATGAACCAGCGCCCATATGGGATCCTGGGCATGCAAGGTGAGGACTTGGGCCACTAGGCTCTGGGCCCAGTAAGTGGTTTTGTTTTGTTTTGTTGTTGTTGTTGTTTTTCTAAAAATGGAAGGCAAACAGGAAAAAAATAAATTGATTGTTTACTAGTCAGTCCTTATATATTTAGTTAGTCTGAGTTAACTTTCTATTCCCTAACAGGAGGTGTGGAAAGACCCAAGACCATTTAGGCTTTAAACGCACTTACAGTTCCTGACGTTCTTACATTGTCACACGCAGCTAATTCCTGCAGCCAGGTCCTCTTTTCACGATTTACCGCAAGGCAAAACACCAGACTGGTAAGATTTTAGGGGGGCCTTTTATTCCAATGGGGTAGGAACAGGAGCGGGAGTGAAGGGTGGGGGGGAGCAGGAAGGGACCCTTCTCCTGCCATGATGGCAGGATGGGGGCTGCCAGGGCAAGGCAAAGAGGCAGGCTGGAGGGGATGGGGGAGAACCAGAAGAAGGGAA